CCGCAACCTGTGGACCCGCTTGGTAGCATCCAGCTTAGCCCCAAGTTCGTTTACTTATGTATCATTAAAAACTACCAAAATTTGATGGTTTAGATAGAACATGCACAACAAATAAACCAACTACGATTAATAAAATATGTTTATCTGTAAAGAAATTCATTTCTAGACGGTATTTTTACCACAGAATTAAGATCATTTTAAAATTTTTGTTACTCGTAGTGCAATGACTGTGTAAAAAGTGTACAAATTTGTTTTTTTTTCTATTTGATAAATATGATCGAAAACGGTATCTTATACAAAATGAAATAAGCAAACTTGTTATAATTATAATTCATTGAAATTACATAAATTGTAATGTTTGATTTTTTACATTGCATATAATCTTTTTCTGATTAAAAATAAATAAAGATTGTTTATTGTACTAATATCATAAAACCATCGACACATTAGAAGATCCCATATAATAGAAGACCTTCCCATAATAGAAGACCCCCTTCAATAAACGACGCAAAAGACAGATTAGAAGATCTCCTGCAATTCTTGATTTTATTTCTTTTCTGTTTAATATTTTTGTTTCTTCATACAAATATTTCTAAGTTATACTGCAGAAATATCTTTCTGCCGTCCAAGACGATCTGTATTTGAACAATATAAACTATAATTAACAGACTCACTTTATACGGTATGTGAAAGCCAATATCCGGTATGACTAAGTTCAGCCATCTCTTTTTGTGAAACACGATCTGAAAGGAGTGTTGAAGTGTTTAGGGTAGAAATTTTGGACCCACTCCCCCCCCCCCCCCCCCCCCCACAGACCGTGACAGAGAAAATTCATACCCATCACAGACCGTGACAGAGAACCTCCGGACCCATCACAGACCGTGACAGAGAACCCGGGTACCCATCACAGACCGTGACAGAGAACCCCGGATACCCATCACAGACCGTGACAGAGAATCCGAGTACCCATCACAGACCGTGACAGAGAACCAGGGTACCCATCACAGACCGTGACAGAGAACCCCGGGTACCCATCACAGACCGTGACAGAGAACCTCCGGACCCATCACAGACCGTGACAGAGAACCCGGGTACCCATCACAGACCGTGACAGAGAATCCGGGTACCCATTACAGACCGTGACAGAGAACCCGGGTACCCATCACAGACCGTGACAGAGAACCCCGGGTACCCATCACAGACCGTGACAGAGAATCCGGGTACCCATCACAGACCGTGACAGAGAACCCGGGTACCCATCACAGACCGTGACAGAGAATCCGGGTACCCATCACAGACCGTGACAGAGAATCCGCGTACCCATTACAGACCGTGACAGAGAATCCGGGTACCCATCACAGACCGTGACAGAGAACTCGGGTACCCATCACAGACCGTGACACAGAAACTGTAGTTGTAAAGTATCAGATATACGGTCAGCTACAAATGTGTCGTAAGGAAATGGAACAAAAGGATTTCCATTTAATTAGTAACAATAGGTCCATCGTGTTTCACATTTTTAATCCCGCAAGGGATTGCGCTAACAGCTTTTTTTTTTACATCGCTTTTTATGAACAGTGAGCTATATGAGTCTTTTTCGAAGTAAACAAAAGATAAGCTTTCTCTTATGTAGAGTAATTTCATCAAACCCTCATCTACTGTCATTAAATACCAATCATAGCCATATTGATCGAAAAATCCGACTCAGAAAATGATAAATAAATTTCAAGTTCAATAATGAAAACTCGAAATACGCAGTTGACCTTAGAGTGAAGTTCTTTATCGAGTCCAAAAATTGTTCTAGATTTTGTAAAAGAAATATGAGTCCTTATATCATTTTTTTGGATTAGTACATTACTTAAAAGTGCATCTTCTAGGTAATCAATGCTCTTTCGTAGAAGAACTGCTACCAATATAACCGAAATTTTTAAATGGAACAGATAAAACTTCAGATGTTGACTCGACCTATTCAATTTAAAGATATTGGCCATCAAAAATTGGGCTTGTCCTCTGAATATCGAATAAGAAAAGAGAAAACATTTCCCAATTAGATGCACGTTTGAGTAGTGCACTAATAAAAAATGATAGCATTGGATGAGGATCTTATTTTATTTCTTGAGAAGTGTTCGTAACATGAAATATCAATTAACCGCATTTCATTTCATTCAGTACATTCTATAATAAAGATATTCTTTTTACGAAATTTTCTGTCTTAATGAACCTTACACTGTTTTTGTAATTAGTCTCGCAGAGCAAAATAATATAAAAGTTTATTAGCAACAAGATCAACAAAAAGACAACTTTTACAGAAATAATCTCGCTGAGCGTACGGAAAAAATAGGGAAATTTAAGGGACATAGTATAAGACCCTTTATAACTTGTGAACGATAAGACAGAATAGAAGACCCGGGGTCTTCTAACATGTCGATGGCTTTATTGAAATTAATGATCGATGGATGTTGTTTTTATAGATATCTCTTTTACTAATTATCAATATATAGTTTCTGCTAAACGAACAAAATTTGATAATATTGAAACATCATCATCAAGTAAGTTAATCAATTAGAATTTCTTATATAAATTATGGTTCTATTAGAAAAAAACGATAATGAATCATTAACTATTCAAAAATATTTAGAAATGGACATTTTTGATGATAAATCTGGTATGTATGAAATATGAAAGTTCTTTTCTTCATTTGATAATTAAAATAATTTAAGGTCTATCCACTGAAGAACAATCAACAGAAAATCGTCAAACGATTCTAAATAATGCATTTGAAGGAGAAAAAATAAGATTAGAAATTGAACCTATTTCGAAATTTCGTGGTCGTACAGCACATGATTTTAAACCGGAGAAAGCAAAAAAACGTGATGGAGAACCATCAAAAGCCAGAGCATCACGTTATTTTGCCGATCAAAATAATCACCATTATCTTAATTTATTGCTTTGATCTTATTTTATATATGATGAAACAAAACAGACTGTTGTTTTTTCTTCTAGATTTGGAATACATATTTACTGGGTGATCTTCTTGGAATTTGTCTTGAAATTTGTATAGTAACAAGAGAAATTCATGGTTATACATATATTAATTCTTACTTCAAATTTCAAGTACATCCAACAGATCCTCAATCGCCAAATCTCAATCCGAGATATATATTTTTGGATACCACAATTGAATTAAAAGTATATTCAGAAATATTACAACAATTGAAGTAATTAACATTCTATGTAAAATCATGATCATAATATTATTATATTTTAGACTTCAATTAGTTGTTGCTATGCTTACGAATAAAGAATTGATGCAAAGTGAACAACCATTAAAAATTTTTGCACGACCAAAAAATGATAATCGTAAGTTAAAGGATTTAATAAAATAGTTTCATTAAATATGTTGTCATTTTATAGATGGAAAATTCATTACAACAAAATATGATAATCATAAGGATTTTAAAGAAGCTTATTCTCTTCATGATCTTCGCTTTGCCATAACTTTATGGCGCAAAAGAACCTGGTGAAAAAGTATTTCACCAACATTCTGATATACAATATATCAGTCAGATTTCAACAGAAGATAAAAATGTAAATAAAAATATTCTATATATAGTTAATCTGAATCCTTTTTTTTCCTCGTTTAGACAAAAATTCGAGTAAATAATGCATAAAAATTTGTAGCTATTTATCAATCGTTAATTTCTATTTTGATATTACACGCTTCATCATATTCAAGATATTTTGTTTTAATAAAAATATCATCTGAAACAAATCAATAAGTTGTTTCAAATGTTAACTTTAAAAACATACAAAAACTAAAACATGATGGTTTCAAGAGAATTGGAACTGGACCAAATTTTTTTTTTCATTTTTTCTCACTCGCGCTTGTATAATAAAAGCAACTGAGACTATAAATCTTTCTCATGATAACTAGTGTGTCCTTCATGTGTTCAATTATCTCAAGCAGAGATGTTAACAATGGCTAAAAATTGCTGATAGTAGCCGGTGGACTTATGTGCACAGAGCAATTTTTCTCATTCTGTCAATTCATGAACCAAAGTGCAGCATCACTCATAATGTTTTTGACAATGATGTAATGAAATGTGGCGTCTCAATATTACACATTCATAAACATTTTAACAACACTCAGTATTGTCAAATAGAGGCACTATAATTGGAAAACGATAAGATAAACTCAATGTTGAATTGCAATGTATTCAGCGTAAAAAAAGATTCATTCAAACGTAAAATCCTAGGACTAATTTACTCAGATGTATTATTTTTGTTCTTGCTAACTTGATGACATTGAAAAATTAAATAGTCCAGTTTGTAGAACTCGTCGAGTTCTACTTAACTCAACTTAGAAGCGAATCCTTCAAGGAAAAAGTTGAATCTTGATTTGAACACATTGATGAAACAATCATTTCGATAAATTCCATCTCGATTTCGACTGAGCGAGACAATAATATTGTTTAGAATAAAGATTTACTTCGAATGAGAATCGTCATTAAATACAACGAAGTTTCTTCTAACTAATAGGCAAACATTAATTCTACTCTCAATGAAAAACAAAATAATTCAAAACATTTATTGGTGTTGCTGGAGACTTCGAAAAAGTTCTCTTGATAGTTTCAGTGCGGAATGAGAGTGTGGAAATTTGATCAATTGAATATTTAAAGATTTTTGTATATAATCAAGTGCAAGTTCATATTCAGCACGATCGTTATGTATAAGACTAAGTTGATAATAAGTAGATGCTAGATAAGGATGATCTTTACCAAGTAATAAATATCGTTTGCGCAACGCTTCTTGAAAAGAGATCAATGCTTTATTATCATCACCAAGAGCACGATATACTAAACCCATTACATGCAAAGTTTGTGCATATTCTTGATGGTCAATAGGCATTTTTGTCTGGAAAAATTTCTCAGCACTATCGAGAATCAAAAATGCAAGGTCATATTGTTGGGCTTTGAAATAAGCATGACCTAGACGATTTAAATGAAATGGAATTTCTGCATGATTTTCCGGGGTTGATTTCTTCTGAAGTATTAAAGCTTGTCTAAGTAATTTTAATGCTCGCTCCGAATCTCCCAAGTGTAAATAGACAGTACCCATTCCACCCAGAATACGACAATAATCAAATATTCTCTCCGGTAACAGACGGCGAATGAGTAATAAAGCACATCGAAAACAATTGAGAGATTTCTCGAATTTCTCAAGAAACCGATAAATACGTCCTAAATTATAATAAATATTGGGTCGTTCGACATGATCAATGGGTAATGTTCTTAGTAAACGATGGAAATAAATCATCGATTGACCAAAATCACCATTAATATCGCTTAAAGCGTGGCCGAACATAATATATGGATTGGTTTGTTGAAGATATTTACGAATATATTTCTCGTGTTGATCATTGATTCGAATATTGTCCGAAGATGAACTCATTTGAATCAACCATATGCATTTATCGTTATCAAAACAAATGTCATTGATAATGAAAGTCGATCCGAAGTTAAAAATAAATTCGTTTTCATCTGGTAATTCGCTTTCATGACTGACATCTGCTAAAACCGTATTCATAGATGCTCTACGATCGACATCGATGATAAATAATACGAACTGTTGCCATGCATTTCGATTGTAACTTGACAATCCATCAGTCATTAGATCAATGCCAATAAACATTTCTGCTACGTTACAATCAGATGAACATGAAAAAAATCCATTAGTTGATATAAGACAATCAATTTGAAGTTGTTCGAGTTCGTCTCGATTAAGTTTTGCTCCACGATAAAGACGAATCGATGAAAAAGACTGTGAACTGGAAACTTCTTCCAAATGACAGCATAAATCAATAATAAAATAACGAAATTTATATAGAGCCCAAATATCTTGACTACGTAAAGCTTTGTTAACGAGATAAAATAAGAATCCGGGTTTTGTATACCAACGAATGGCATCTTTTGATTGATATTTCCGTTCAAATTCATTGATTTGAGCTAATTGAATAACATCATTTCGATAATAAGCTCGGCATTCACTTAACATCTCACGTTTGGCCTCAAGAGAGTCACGAGGCATGCTCATCAAGACAACTGAATATATGACATAAATAATTTTTGATGAATACTTTCGAAACACTAACCTTTAAATACATGAGTCCAAACAAATGTTGCCAAATCTTCTCGAACATCTTTCAGAGACTTTTCTTTTCGATAGAACGTTGTAAATAAACCACCATCCAAATTTTGTTTCTCAATTTCTTCAATTCGTTTTTCTAAAACATTAAACATTAATTCTTGAGTTTGAAAGATATGAAGATTATCGGTTATTGACAACAGATGGTTATCTGTATCTCTATCGGAATAAACAACAAACATTGTTTGAATAACACGATATTGTTGAAGTCGATGAATAATGCGTTGAATTGTTTCCATTGGATAAAACACAATAATAGCTATGACATACTCACGTGATCGAGCTCGCTTCAAGTATTTAACACATTTCGATGTATTTGAATAATAAACAATAAAACATCGATTGCTAAAACTACGCAATCGAATTTGATTGTCATAGCATGACGAACATGATGTATTTTCAAGCCAAACCAAAGTAATACCAGATCGATTTTTAGACAATTGTCGCACTGGAATGTTACAAACCAATTTGAACTTATCAGATCGATTCATCAATGACACTCTCTATCGTAACTATGTAATATTACAATTAGGATAATATATTAAACGAAAGAGTATAGAACTGTAACGAAGAAAATTTTTTTTATTTTTGTTGTATCTTAAAAATTTTCGTTGTTATAGTTCTATTCTCCTTCGTTTTATTTTCAATCATGTTTTATATTGTCCATGAGAAACATTTTCATCTGTTATTCAAGTTATTCTTCTAATCATTTTGCACAAATTGAGTCGAGAGTTAGTCACATTTTATTCTAACCCGATTAAGAAGAAAAGTACAGAACAAATATCAATAATCAATGGCAGAATATTTCTGTCTGATTTTATTCGAATCTCGAGGGCTAAAGAAAGGCTCTTACTTGTATTACTCTTAAAGCTTTCATTCACCTTTCGGTGCAAGAAAGAGCAGCATTCTTGTTTTCTCCTCCAATGCCAGTGAGCATGGATATCAAATATTAGTGTTTCATTTTACTTGATATATTATTGTAGAAGAATGTAACCTTGACACAAAGTAAATTATGTAAGAATAACTGAAGCATGAATAATACTTTCAAAACAAGATCTGTGTTTCTTGTGAAAATTTCAATCTAACCATAATTGTAACAAATCAACAAATGATACTTGAGGGGTGTGTGGGTGTGAGTGTTCTCTTCATTCACACGCACACCCTGTCGAATCAGTTTTTACTTTTATATTCGAACTTCGTTCCAACATAGAATCCTGATATCCATAATCGAGCTTCTTATGCACCCAACAAACTACAATCCATGAGCAAACACAAGAAATATGGCTAGGGAAAAGTGTCATTATCATCATTATTTCTTCACACACAAAAAAATCTAGAAAAAAAACGATCGCAATCCTAGCGAATGAACTGTCTTTACCAGAAAGCTCCCCATATAACTTTGATTGACGGTTGTCTCGTCCATTTTAGTTCCTCAACCGAATGTCGAGTTTCTTCCGAAAGCTCAAAATATTCGAGTGTGAGTGAGGTAAGTGTCTATTTGAAAAGTCAATTCATGAAAAAACCGGTGAGACTAACAAACGAGGAAACTTACTGTATTCTTCATTAGCGCAGCGATCATATGATGCGTCCCGACGTCGCCAATTGTATTACCGGTGAAACCAAGTGTGGTCAGTGTCTATATCCAAAAAGTGTTGATGAGTAAATTAGTGCGACTAGTCAAAGAAGAGCTTCACTGTATTTTTCGTTAGCGCGTCAGCAATATACAGGGTGTAAAAAAAAAATTACGCCCCCCCTTCCAGACCTAAAGACCAAATAGTACCCCCAACAATTTTATACCAAATGAAAGCCCGCAAAAAGTTACGTCTAGTGGTATAGTCAGAACAAATATAGTTTGTAATATTATAACGATTCTAGGCTCAATACATCATTTTCACTTATATATCACAATCTCGAGTACGTCAAAAGCCGTTGTGCTCAACAGTAACTTAAGTTGTGAATCATTAATTATTCAGTTTATTGATAATATTGAATACTAAAAAATGCTTTTTCGAAAGTTTCAGAACTTCGTATGACCTCCATCAGCAGCCTTGAGAGCATCAAATCTTTTTCGCATCGAGCATAACAAGTCAATAAAAAGATCTGTATCATTTTCAAGATCTTTGAGCGTATTCTCCAAATTCGTTTTCAGTGCATCGTAATTGTATCTGCTACGACGATCTTCATTTGCCATTAGTTCCTCAACTTTATCTTTAATAATTGCACCAATATTTTCTGCAGGATTCATGTCAGGACTATTGCCTGGCCAAATTGAATTTCCCCAGAAATTCACATTCTCATCTTCTAAAAGATGTTGTGTTGCATTCGCTTTCATACAAGGTGCCTTGTCGTGAAGAAATATCACTTCGTTCGTATCGAGAACATTGGACGAATCACGAAGAAATGGGATCACCTGTTGTCGAAGGATAGTGTCACGAAAACAAGCGCCATCCCAAGACTGTCCATGTTCTTTTAGCACCCAAAGTAGTTTTTTTGCAGTAAACATGACGAAAACCCCAATACATGTTGCATTGTAAACCATCTCTCGGTATCTTTCATCATCACTGATGTCTTCAATACTTCTTGCCCAAATTCGATCATTTTGATGGTTTGGTTTTCTTACAACATAAATGTAAAATTCATCCGAAGGTGCAACATGTAGAAAATCTTCTTCAGTCCAATCAGTAAGAAAATTTGCTAGCCACTTGCGATCTTCGATATGTGTATTTGTCTTCAGTGGCTTGGCAATCACATGGAAAGCTTGTAACCCTTGCCGATGGCGTTCATTGTAAATAGTCATGTGACTCACCCGCTGTTTTGTTTTCTCTAAAATCTCTCTTGCAACTTTTCGACAGCTACTGCTTTTGACACCACTTGCAGAAGAGATAATGTTTCTGCTCTCCTGATTAAGCACCTGGGGTCGACCACTGCCAAATTGTGTATAACATTCTTCGATAGATTTATTCCAATTTCGTCGTACCCAATCTTCACTGCGACGTAGCTTCTCGGAAATCCAAGGGCGAGTAATAATTGAGTCTCCTGTTCTTGCAATCAGTTCGTCACGTATTTCACGATATGTGACACATCGAATTCTGTCAACGAATCGTTGCTCTTCCGAATGATGAAGCAGATTAGCCATTTTGGTTTTTCAATTAATGTACCATAGAATTTTTTATTAACTAATCAGCAAATTGTTCAACGTCTAACGTGAATAAAAATTACTTGCGCGGACAACAGATACTCAGAAAGAAAATCAATGAAAAAAGTTGAAAATATTTCGACACTCGACCATTTTCTTTTCTGTATTCTCTTCTTATCTGTTCGTGCATAAATGTGCACATAACTTTCTTTTTTTCTGTTCCTTCTTCTCGTTATCAGTCATCAATAGTAAGGCTTTTGATAATTCACACTAAACATTACTCAACTCGCTCACGTGCTTTGTGATACTCAAATATAACATTAGAAAACGAAAATTTGGCAAAATACGTGACATATTGGTCTACGATATCGTACATTTAATAAAAACTTGGAGCCATGAAAACTACGATCTATTAATACGTAATTCGAAAGTGAAGAAAGATAACTTGTATCATTTCAATTGATATGAGACTGTGATACATAAGTGAAAATGATGTATTGAGCCTAGAATCGTTATAATATTACAAACTATATTTGGTCTGACTATACCACTAGACGTAACTTTTTGCGGGCTTTCATTTGGTATAAAATTGTTGGGGGTACTATGCGGTCTTTAGGTCTGGAAGGGGGGGCGTAATGGTTTTTTTACACCCTGTAGTGTGCTCCGACATCGCTAATCTTACAGAATTGGAGATGGAGTGTTGTGATTGTCTATGTGAAAGTATTTATGAGTAAATCCATCAGAATAGTAAACGAAGAAGCTTACTTTATTTTTCGTAAGCACAGCAGCTATATGCTGTGCTCCCACATCGCCGATTTCATTCGGTCCAAAATCGAGCGTGGTGAGTGTCTATGTGGAAAAAGTGTTTATGAGTGAATCAGTGGATTAAAAAGCGAAATAGCTTACTGTATTCTTCATTAGAGCGGCGGCGATGTGCTGTGCTGCGACATCGCTCAGTTTACACCCTCGAAAATGGATTTCTGTGAGTGTCTATGTGAAGACGCGTTGATAAGTAAATCAGTGAAATTAACAAGTGAGGAAGCTCACTGCATTGTATGTTAGTGCAGTAGCGATATGCTGTGCTCCTAAATTACCAATTTCGTTTCTTCCGAGATGAAGTATGGTGAGTTTCTATGTAAAACAAATGTTTCAGTAAATCAGTACGACTACTAAACAAAGAAGCTCACAGTATTCTTCTCTAGCGCTGCGGCGATATGCATTGCTCCGACATAACCAATATCATTATCGTGAAGACTGAGTGTAGTGAGTATCTATATGATAAAAGTACTTATGAGTAAATCAGTAGGACTAGTAAACGAGGAAACCCACAGTATTGTTCAATAGCGCAGCGGCGATATGTTGTGCTCCAACAGCACCAATTCCATTCCGGACGAGATGAAGCGTGGTGAGTGTCTATGTGGAAAATATGTTTATGAGTGAATCGATGGACTAAAAAACGAAGTAGCTCACTGTATTCTTCGTAAGCACAGCAGCGATATTCTCCGCTCCGAGAGCGTGAATGTAATTCTGTTTGAGCTCAAGTGTGGTGAGTACCTATATGAAGAAGTATTGATGAGTAAATCAGTAGGACGAGTAAATGAAGGAGCTCACTGTATTCTTCATTAGGGCTGTGGCGATAATCTGTGCTCCGATATGGTTAATTTCATTCTCCTCAAGATGAAGTGTGGTTAGTGTCTATGTCAAAAAGAGTAGGTGATTAATCACTGTGATTATTAACCGAAGAAGTTCACTGTATTCTTCGTTAGCGCAGTAGCAATATGCTCTGCTCCAACATTGCCAATTTCATTTCCTCCGAGCTTTAGTGTGGTGAGTGCCTATGTGAAAGTGTTTATGACTAAATCAATGATAATAGTAAACCAAGAAGCTCACTGTATTCTTCATTAGAGCAGCAGTGATGTGCTGTGCTCCAATGTTGCTGATTTTTTTACTAGAGATATAGAATGTGGTAAGTGTCTGCTTGCAAAAAGTAGTTTTGAGTAAATCAGTGCAGCTAGGAAAAGGAGAAGCTCACTGTATTCTTCTCCAGTGCAGCAGCGATGTGTTGTGCGCCCACATTACCGATTTCATTCCGGTTGAGATTGACTGTGGTAAGTGTCTACATGCAAAAAGTGTTTATGAGTAAATCAGTGCAACTACTGAATGAGGAATCTCACTGTATTCTTCGTTAGGCCAACAACAATATACTCTGCTCCCACATCGCCAATATGGTTTAGTTCGAGACCCAATGTAGTGAGTGTCTATGTGCAAAAAGTGTTTATGAGTAAACCAGTGAGACCAGTAAATAAAGATGCTTACTGTATTCTCCCATAGAATAGCAGCGATATGCTCTGCTCCCACATCGTCAATTTCGTTTAGTTCGAGATCGAGTGTGGTGATTGTCTATGTGACACATGTTTTTATGATTTAATCAGCGAAAGTAGTTAACAAGGAAGCTCACTGTATTGCTCATTAGTACAGCACTTACATGCTGTGCCCCAAGATCGCCTATTTTCTTACACTGGAGATTGAGTTTGGTGAGTGTCTATACCAAAGAGCATTGATAAGTAAATGAGTAAGTCTAGAAAATTAAAAACCTCATCAAATTATTTATTAGCCAAACAGGGCTGCTTTTCTCTCGTATATATCTGATTTCACTCGCTTTTAGCTGGAGTATGGTATGTCCATCCAGGAAGGACATGATCAGTGTTACCTATTATTTTATGAAAGTGCGTAGCTGCAGTCTGTTTCGGAAGCTTCACTGGAAGGAAACGGTATAACTGCTTTGAGTTCGGAAGAGGGTTAAAAAGCTCAACATTTTCTATGAGTTACGAAACTGATGGAAACAAAGGCCATGCAATACTCGTAGAAATTATTACATAACCTCTATAATGAGCTGATTATGAGAAATGTAATGTGAAAAATGACTATATAATGATTATTGCTAATTGAAAAATTCGTTTTGAGAAAGGTTTCATAGCATGGAGGGTATTTGTTTTTTGAAGTTTATTGTTATAGAAATAACTTTCTCAATAAAGTGAGTTTACTTGTTTACAAAACTTGTCCAATGAACGATAGAGTTTGTTTGTCTCATTATTAAAGGGGTGAAAGTAATGCATTCTTTTAAAGACAAGTGTATTAGTGACTCGTTTTGTATTATAGGATTTACAGAAATGTCGAACCTGAATCCTTCATCCTTGTGACGAATCGACAAAAGAGATATGCGTAAGCAGAAAAAAGACCTAAGACTTGCTTTATGGGCTGTGTTTATCACTTGAAGTCATGGTTATATGACTTTGCCATAGATAGCACTATTTTAGAGTATTTTCGCAGTGGATTTCTTAGTTTCTTTTCTCTTAATGTCAGAAAGGTCCTATAGGATGCGGGTGTGGGGTGTGGGTGTGGGTGTGGGTGGGTGTGGGTGGGGTGTGGGTGTGGGGTGTGGGTGGGGTGTGGGTGGGGTG